TAAGAATCACTGGTCTAAATAAATTACTCAGAAATTAAAATAATAAATGAAAAGTTGTCAGAAGTGCATAAATTCTCTAAACAGGCTAAATGCGAGTAACAAAATGGGGCTGTAGTGTAATTGAAAAGCACCATATTAGTCAAGTACTCTAAAATAAAGTGCTTTAAAGTAAAGTATGCCTGAATAAGATCAATTTTGTTTGGTGATGGTGTTTTGGTGATGGTGTGTATTATATGCAGAACGGGCTGTATTTTATGTAGAAAATATTTATGTGCGGATATAGATAGACAGACGGACACACACACATGTACACACAAACATACGAGTATCTGTACTTTACTGGAATTCTAGCCTTAATAAAATGATACATGAATGTTGTTTTTTGGTAGTACCAGAGTGCATTTCAGATATGTTTAGGCAATTAGGCTTCCTGATTGACTTTTGTTGGTAAAGTATGGATATTAGCACTAATCGCTGACATTTGAATATAGATTCAGGCTGAGGAAAGACTTCATGCTGGCTGCAGATAGGGTTTTCATGTCATATCTTCTCATTAGCCATTTGTATAAATCTTTTGGGTGAGGGGGGCACATGTAAAGAAGCAAGGAAGGAGTATTTAAGTGTCTCATTATACTGCCGCAGAATCTGAAATATGATTTTGAGAATCAAAAGCTAATCAGTGAAGGTATTATTACCAGCTTCATTATTTTTGATTTCTTCTAATACATATTATAATTTGGGGATCCCTTTTTCAAAGGCACTTAGATTTCAACAACAGCAGCAAAATACATAAGAATGGGCAAGTTCAGATTTTGATATAAAAGAGAAGGGGAACATTTATGGATGTGGCCTTTCATTTTGGATATCTTTATTCAGTTTTCAACCTGTCATGAATACTTTTGCTAATCTAGTGAAAAAATAGGACCACCCGTGCACAAAGGGAACATGTAACATCCTTGTTAAAAGAGATCTCCTCTGGCTACCAATTCTTTTCAGAGTACAATTCAAAGTGCTAGTCATGACCTATAACATCCTATATGGCTTAGATCCAGACTATCTGAAAGACTATATCTGTATGCAGACTTATCAGAATCTTAAGATCTAAGATGGAGGGCTTTCGCTGCCACCATCATAGGCTTGCTTAATGAGAACACGGGAAAGATACTTTCCAGTAACTGCGTCTATCTTCTTTAATTCCCTGTTGGAAATTGAAATGAGGTTATTACTTCTTGCTTAAGAAACACTTAAACTAACCTAGTCAGTAACTGGATGCAAAAAATACTGAGTTCTGGTGGTACAATAATTTGAATGGAAGGAGGAAGCTATCTAAGTTAACATTGAGATTCTTGCAAAATGTAGCAGGATGCTACTTTAATAGCTTTACACACAATCTTTTTCCCCATCTTGCTTAGAGCTGAACCTACTCTTGTTTTCTCTCTGGAGATGACCCATAGAAACTGGAGACAGAAAGTCAGGACCTGCGATCTGTCAGTTCTCATTTTGTAGTTCTGATAAGGTTTCTGACTAACATCCAAGAAGGAGATCTTAGGACTGTAGGGGCTTACCATCAACTCAGTCTGTAAGAGCAGTAAAAAGGTAAAGGTAGTCCCCTGACATTAAGTCCAGTCATGTCTGACTCTGGGGTGTGGTGCTCATCTCCATTTCTAAGCCAAAGAGCCAGCGTTGTCCGTAGACACCTCCAAGGTCATGTGGCTGGCATGACTGCATGGAGCGCCGTAGAAGACACAAATTTAGTGGCCAAAATACAATTGCTAGCACTGCCAAAAGTAGATAAGTTGAACAAAGTTCTTAAATAGTGAATACTTACCCCAATTGTTAATTCAACTGGTCTATTGAGTTACTCCCCTGTCTAAAATTATTAGGGGAAAGACCGTAGAAGACATCAAAATTTTATATCCACAAAAGCTCATGCTAAAATAAAACCCAGTTAGTCTTTAAGGCGTTGCCACATTTCTGTTTTTCTCCCCCTCACTTCCTCGAAGCAAAGCAAAGTTTATTGATTAGTCCACTGACCGTATCAACATTAAAAACAAAAACAGAAACGTACACAAATAAACAATAATCACTATCCTAATACTCCCATAATAGTGAACTAACATACATTCAAACTTGATTAAGTTAAAAAATAATTAAAAATATCATCATTAAAATGCCAAGGTAAAATTTCAAACCACAAAAATTAAAAATGAAGGTTAAAACAAAGGTTAAAATAGACCAGTTATTGTACAATCCCAAGCCACTTTAGATATCTGCATCACCCCTACAGTTTACCCTAGTACTCTGAAAAGAATCTCCTCCAGATACGCAGTTCTCAGCTGTGTTGCTTTATGAAAGAAAGGGGCTGTTTGGTGTGTTGTCTTAGCATTCTGGCCAGCCATCAAGAATGTAGTTTTGATATGGGGATCCCAGTGAGTCTTCTGTATAATGAATGGTCCGAGGTATTGATTTCTCTCTTTGTTGTACAAAATACAACTAAACAGTGCGTGTGTAATATCCTCTACCTCTGTTGCCCCACAGATACAGAAACGTTCATTATATGGAACTTGGTTAAACCCTCACTTCCTCCTCTTTAAGCATGACAAAGTAATAGTAAAAACACTTGTCACCCATAAAAACCAATTATTGGTAGTTTTGACCCCAAATTGAAGTAGGCAGCTACTTCTTCATGTAATGAGAGTTTTCAGAAGTTGTTTTTTATTATAACTTCCAGAATGGTCAGGGCACTGTTGGTTGAAGGATTCTGGGAACTATAGTCTAAAAAAGGAACTTCCTACCATGCATTGAACTATGCTTTTGGTGCTTTAGTGTCCACTCCACACTAGGTGCGGTTCTGCTAACTAGCAGCTGGAACCATGAATGGAAGAACACAAACTCATGGCTTGAAGTTGGCCGTAGCAATTTGTAAGACTGTTTAATATGCTTGGAAACCTCATTGAAGCATATAAACTGTGTGCTATTAGGTAAGAAATAATAGATAGTTCTTGATATATGCCTCTAATTATTTTTGTTCCATTTTTATATTACATTCTGCCTCATTAGCAAGGAAACATAACTCTTCTAATGTGTTTTCTTTGTTGAACATTGTGGAATGTAATAAAAAAGTATGGTGTTTAAACAGGGAAAAGAGACAGCCTAATGGAAATAAAATGCATTTTTCATTTTTACTTATTTTTCCTGTTTCCCCATAGCACGCTTGAGAATGTGCTGATTTTGGGTTCTCTTGGGTGATGCTTGTTACAGAAAAGGTTTAAAGGCAGGAAATTGTGCTGCTAAACAAATATTCAACATCACAATATCTTTAGTCTATATAAACTCTTATGGGTTGGACCCATGGTGCTCTGTTGGATGTGTGCCAATTACAATAAGAATTTCAGTCTTGATCAAGGCATCTGATGGCTACCGTGTAATAAGGAGCTTGAAGACTATATTTCATCTGTTGACAGTGTGTGCCATTTCCATTTATTTGTCTCTTGAAATGCATAAAGGATGAATGCTAGCAGCCTCAGCAGTATGAAGACATGAATGAAAATGGTTAGGGAACAAACCAGGATATCAAATCACATTTCAATTCTGGTTCATTAAACACATTTAAGGGTAGAACAAAATCTTCCAATGAACGTTGAACATTTGACCCTTCAGATAGTTCCATAGTTCTTTAAGTATGGTGTAATAAGAGAGGGGAATCTATTATGTAAAGAGGATCACCATTAGTTTGGAGATCCCACCACTATTCTATCTACCAGCTATTCTTCACTAATAGCGATCTATCTTTTCTAACTAACCACTTTGGCTTCACTAACTTCTCCTCTCCTAACTCTCTCCCAAAACCTAACTCTCTTCTTCAACATTCAGACCCAGACTAAACTGCCAGATTTTAAAACGCACCCTTTCAGGCAATTTTTTTCTGCACTCTCACTAAGCTCCACCCACTTTCTCCCAGCCAATCACAAAGGCTCTCCACATTTCCCTCCAGGCTGCTCCTAAGCTCCGCCTCCTCTAGGAAATGAATACTTTAAGATGGCTGCCTCCCTGCACCATCTCACAAAATGGTTGCCAAAATACTTGGGCCTACTTCCTGAGCTTTTCCCTGGCCTAAAAGGTAGGCAATTCATCACACACGAACCCTCATAATCCTTTAATGATAGTTCTTGGATGGGAGTTGTAGGACAAAATGTATGGAGTACAAACTTCCCAATTTTCTTCTAAAGCAGAAGATTTCCTTCCATCATATGTGAAGATGAGACAGAGAGTATGCCACTGCTGATTTGCTTCTCCTTAAACTATGGCTTTAATGTGTTACTGAACCTGCACACTGTATTTATTTGTAGGTCGTGGTGGAATATTCAACATCACAATAGTAATTATGAAATTTAAACATTCCCAAATATCAATTTGTCTAACTTCTGAAATTTGGTTGATGAATTTGGTTGTGAGCAACATGCAACTTGAAAGAGCAACCTTTTGGAGGACAACTGCCAGAATCACCTGGCCAGGATGGCCACTGGAAAAATAGTAGCGTATGCCTCCTTGTTTCATCCACTCAAACTACAGTGTGATTTATGAAGTTCTAAATGAAACTCAAATTGCATGGGAGCATGCAATTCAGATAAGTTGTATAGCTTCTTGCTTGTAACTGTAAAAATCAGTAATTTTTTGCTCTTCACTAGAGCATCTTCACTAGAAGGGCTGTTGAGATTTCAGCATGAGCGAGCCAGAGAACTTGAAGAACTTCAATTTGTTTCTTCAAGGGATGCTGAGCAAGTATCCCCCAGGAATGATTTAATACAAATTATCCTTCTTTAAGTCAGTTGACTGTGGTAGATAACTCACTGGGGACTTCTTCCAATTCTGTGCCATCATGCTGGTTTCAGACACACTCAGCCTTTTAGTCTCGAAATGGGAGTTGTACAATTTCCTAACTTAATTGGGGAAGAAATAAGGCCTTAAATCTTCAGCGCCTTTGCTTTTTATCGTTTCAGATATGCCTCTTCATGTACGGCGCAGCAGTGATCCTGCATTAGTTGGCCTTTCAACATCAGTCAGTGAGAACAATTTCACTTCGGAAGAGCCTTCTCGGAAAAACCCCACAAGATGGTCAACGACTGCAGGCTTCCTCAAGCAGAATGCACCTGGAGGGCCAAGGAGTCATGAAAGAAAGGTATTATCTTCTTACTTCAGAGAAAATATCAGATGAAGAACTGCTATTTCCTTTTCATTTATTTATTAGGATGTCCAGTTATGGAAAAAACCCATTATCTAAAATCATAGAATCCAAATAACAATTTTTAAAATGGCTAACAGAACCTATATAGAACATGTTCAATTCTTCGCAAGGTTCAGCCAGTCAGCATTTTTGTGTGTATGAAAATACACAGCCTTTGATCAAGAACAACAAAAACATGTAGTAAGTGTGCATTTTTTTCTTTTCCCATTTGAGCTCTTATAGAGCTGCATAAAACCTTCATTCCAAGGAAGTGATGGAATTTCTTAACAGATAAGTGTCATTCCTTTACTATTCATTTTGTGCATCTGCATGAATAAAAAGAGTTTGAAGTACTGTAAAATCAGAGATAGACTCTGATTCCGGGTCACATGGCTCCTTTCTAGTTCTGGCAAGATGAGAAATACATCTGCATTAGGCAGGATTTCTAACCATGGATGTTCTCCATTCGATTCAACAATCTCTGCTGTCGAAGTTTCCTCTTAGGGCAATGGTTTTCAGTATGAGGGACCATGTGAACTGGGAAGCAGCTGAATGCTAGACCCTGTTCTTTTATACTTATGTTGATGATTTCACATAAGTTATAAGTATTATAGTAGCAGTGGCAGAGATTTAGAAGACTTAAAAAAAAACCAAGCTGTTTCTTGCATAGTTGATATGATTACATTGTTGGATGTATTGTTGATAGATGCTCTTGCAAAATTAGGCCTATGATAGACACCAGGTTCCCACAAAATTACCAGGTAGAGGCCACAAATGTTGTGGTTAATATAGAAGCTTGTCTATCAAAGACACAGTAGCAACACATGAAAAGGAAATGTAAATTTACTCTTGTTCAGCAGAGTTCAAAACAGTGAAATAAGCTTGTGGCATTGCATCAAAATAACAGTCCTTCAGAGTAACAGAACTCACATATTCTTTGTATATAGTCATACCAACACAGATGGCATAGCTTCTCCAATTTCCATCCCCAAAGAGCAAACATGTATCCCAATAGGCACTCAGTTATACCTCACTGGGAATGGCCCAAACTTCGGGCCCTAAAGAGCACATTCATTTAGCCTGTGTATAATAACCACCAGAATGAGTCCTTTTTCTCTTAACACACCTGGTAGTGAGTCCACACACAGGGAAGGTAGTGATCCCACACAAAACTTACTGCAGGTTTGACAGAAACCTTAACAAAGAAGACCAGGAAAATCTTTTAAAACATATCACAGGTTACTAGCAGGTCAGTATAGACGATGGGGTTGTAGGACATGTGAATGACATCTCCCTTGTTTCTCAAAATGGTGCATGAAAAATAAAGGTTGAATATCCCTTAGCCGAAACGCTTGGGATCCAGAAGTATTTTGGATTTGGGGGATTTTGGAATACCTGTATTGTCATATATGTACATAATGAGATATCTCAAAGATGAGAAACAAATATAAACATTTATTTTTCATATATACCTTATACACCTAGCCTGAAGATAATTTGTGTACACTGAACCATCAGAAAGCAAAGGTGTCACTACCTCAGCCACTCATGTTAACAATTTGGGATTTTGGAGGACTTTTGGATTTCCAGATAAGCTCATGGACATGTGGCAGAAAGACTTCTTGGATGGGGTCAAGATTCAATCTTGTCCAGCATGTTTTATCTGATATCAATTGTCCACTATTAATTGTAAGGTGTAGGGTCTGTGATCTTTGCAAACATATATTTTGGGCCCTGAAGATGTTTTTTGACCTTTTCCTGTGAGCCTAAAGAAATAGTTTCACTTCTAGTTTGAATTTCTCCTGCTTTTATCAGATATCCAAGGCAGTTCTTAATAGTCTACCCATTCTTTATTGCTCCAGTTCTTTTTAAGGCCCATGGCTAGACAAGGGGGAGGGGGGCGGATATCTCCAAAGAGTTCCATTACTTTATGTAAACTTCCAAGACAAAATGACTCACAGTGTCTGTTGTATTTTTGCTCTCTCTGCATATTTTCTATGAGTTCAATGTCTCCACATGAGCAATAATACTTGTGACTAAAGAAATCAGCATGAAGCTTGTTTTCCTATGTACCTTTATTCTTAAACAGAGGACTTCAAAGACATTTTTGGGATTTGTTTCATTCTTCCATTCTCCTTTCTTTGACCTAATTCTGACTGTAGAAATACTTTTTTTTAAAAAAAGAAACAAGAGCTTGCTATTTCTTCATTTTCAAAACATGGTTATAAAAATCCATTTCCAGGCGAAACATATTGAACATTACTTTGTGGTTAATAGCTAAAATTCATATTTGCATGTACTTTGAAATTACTCCTCAGATGCTGTATAAATAAGGCATTAATTATTTTTTTTGTTATGTCTACATAACAAGAATTTATAGCAATGTCTTTAGAAGGTTGACCCATTTGGGGAATTTTAAGCCAAAAGAGGAAGTAAAGGAGGTAAAGAGAAGGAGGGTGAAGGAGAATCCTCAGTAAAAAAAAATATATTTTCCTAGTTACTGCTTTCCTCCTCATTTAACTCTTTCATGATGTATCCTTTGTACTTTTTCCCTGTACTTTTAATTAGTGGCATTTCAAACACAAATGAAAAAAACTCTTGAAAGATAAAATGAAAATTCAGAGAATTCACTCTTGCTTCACATTACTGTATATTATACTGTATACCAGGTTCCCAACTCAGAGAGGTTATAGGGAACATATAACTCCATCACTTAAATAACTTATCTGGCCAATACATTTCTGGCAATGACATTTAAAGTCCTGTATGTTTTGGGGTTAAAACTTTTTGAAAAAGTGTGTCTTTCTGCACGAGGCTTAATGAGCTCTTAAGGACTTCATCACATGCAACATCTCCCTCATTTCCACACATGAGGGAGAGTAATAATAAAATAATAAAAATAAAATTATTTATATTCTTCCCTTTCTCCCTGGAGGGACTCAGGGCAGATTCCAAACATAAAAGTAATGCATTCAATGCTCAAACACAACATCCTTAGTAACGAAATTTGTCAACCCAACATATGAGAACAAATTATTACTTAACAACTAAAATTAAATAGAAAATGCAGCTTGTTACATCAGACATAGACAAAACATCAAACATCGAACAGAAGCATCGATTTCCCAGTTCTTTGGGGGCAAATAGATTGTGTCTCCTTGTAAGGGAAAGTAAAGGAGCCCATAGAAGTGGTGTCCATCTTAAGAATGATGCCTTGTGTCTCCTCTACGGATAGTTGAGCTAGAGACGGGATGAGGTGATTCTGTGTGCTGGGAGTAAGTAAATTCTCAGTCTTTTTTAAATAGAAGACAGAATCCCACACAACAAGACAATTCTACATACAAATAATGCTTTCCCCTGTTTCCCCACATATTCCCCAGCTCCATCTGATGGAAGTCCTAAGATCTGCAAGAGAAGGCTTTCTCTCAGTCTCACCACCATCTTAGGCATTTTTTTTTGCTGAAAACAAAATAGAGAGCTTTCATGGTGGCCACTCTCTCATTGCCTGACTCCTTCTTTAATTGGCCCCTTTCCTCATCAGAATCACATACAATGGATTTCAAGAAACATAGAAGTTTTAATATCCTAACATTAGGCAGATCCACAATATGGTGAGTTTTTAGAGTATTTTTCACCATTAAGTATAAGAGCTCCGATATGTCAGTCATTGGTTTTAAGACAACTCCCATTTTAAATATAGTTCCATCTCTTTAGAGCATTTATGTACTCTTGTTTTTTTCCCTCTCAAAATGTTTTTCTGAACTGTACCAGAGCAACATATCACTACAAATGAGCAGGGTGACCAAGATAAAAAGAAATCCAATTGATGTAGCATAGTGATGGGAAATCCAGACACAGGGGAGCCTTAAATCAGAAAGAAGGGAGAAATAATGTGGTATTGTACAACAGATATTGATAATGTTATCTCCTTAAAATTTGTTTTCCTACATAATAACAATTAATCTTTTGAAAGATGGCAGTGTACGGGAATAATAAATCTTTGCGTATTTATCTTTTGAATGTTAGAGCAACAAAAATGGACTGATTGGTAGAATGGACAATGATGACAATAATAGAACATTTGGGAAGGGGGATTTTTGTTTGAAGAACAGGATTAATCCTCTCTTCACACCATGCCTCAAATTCTATTTCTCTCCTTTTGAAGCTGTTATTTTGAAAACTACAGCCCACAGAGCAGTAAGACATTTCAAATGGCTGCTAGACGTAAACCTGAGACTTAGACGCTAAGTCGGAATTTTTAATTTTAAGCTGCAAACCTTTGTTTGCAAAATCATACAAGTATTTTAAAATGTTTTTTAAAAAGTTATGATTCTTTTAGTTATTTCCAGTGTGCCATTTGGAGCTTCTCATAAACATGTGGAAATGATTGAAACTGTAAAATTGGGTGATCAGTATATTTTGGGGGAAGTGGAGGATGCTTACTAGGTTGTTAAAAAGTAAGCATCCTCCACTCTCTCCAAAAATCCCTCAAAACCTGAAAGTAGCTAGAAGCTCATAGATTATTAAAGTGTCTGTATATATGTGTGCCTGTATCTCCATATAAACAGAATCATAAGAGTTGGAAGGGAACTCATGGGCCGTTGAGTCCAACCCCCCACTTAATGCAGGAAATCTAATTACAGCAAACCTAGCAGCTAGCTGTCCAATATATTTTTGAAGACTTCCACAGGAGGAGACTCCTCCTTGTTGATTCCATCACTGTCTTCTCTTCACCAAGATGAGTACACCCCCTTCAATATTTCCTGATATATTTAGTTCTTCATACATCATTGTTGTTCTTCTCTTAACTTGCTCTAACTTGTCTATATAGAAAGAAATTAGACTCTCAGAATTAAATGCTGCACTCCAGATGAGGCCTGAACAGTGCAGTATAGAGTGGGACTATTTCCTCTTTTGACTTGGAAACTATGTTTTATTAATGAAGGCTACAATAA